AGGAGAGTGCAAAAGTTGGCTTGAAACTCAACATTAAGAAAACCAAAATCATGGCATCCGGTCCTCTCAATTCCTGGCAAATAGAGGGGAAGAAATGGAGGTAGTGACAGATTTTATTTTTCTGGGCTCCAAGATCACCTCAGATGGGGACTGCAGCCAAGAAATTAAAAGACGCTTGCTCCTGGGGAGTAAAGCTATGGCAAATCTAGGCAGCATTCTAAAAAGCAGAGACATCACCCTGCCAACAAAAGTGCGTATAGTCCAGGCCATGGTTTTCCCAGTTGCAATGTATGGCTGTGAAAGTTGGACCATAAGATAGGCTGAGCGCCAAAGAATTGAGGCCTTTGAACTATGGTGCTGGAGAAGACTCCTGCGAGTCCCTTGGACTGCAAGGCGTTCAAACCGGTCAGTCCTAGAGGAGATTGACCCCAACTGCTCTTTAGAAGGCCAGATCCTGAAGTTGAAACTCAAATACTTTGGCCACCTGATGAGAAGGAAGGACTCACTGGAGACGGGCCTAATGCTGGGAAAGATTGAGGGCAATAGAAGAAGGGGACGACAGAGAATGAGATGGCTGGATGGAGTCACTGAAGCAGTAGGTGTGAATTTGAATGGACTCCAGAAGATGGTAGAGGACAGGAAGACCTGGAGGAACGTTGTCCATGGGGTCGCAATGGGTCGGACACGACTTCGCAAGTAACAACAACAATAGATTCAATTATAATGGTATTGGCATTATATACCGTGTGTTTGCCTACCTACCTACTATACGAAAGGCAAACATCCACATGTTCCAAAATGGCAGTAAGGAAATGCAGAAAACCCTTAATTCTTTTCTGCCATCTAGTTTGTAACCAAGATATAGTAGCTATAATATAATATTCTAACAAGAGATATTACATGTGTAGAATAAAATGCAGTTGATGCTGCAGTAAAATATGCTTATTTCAAAGAGATTATTTCTTGGGTTGAAGTGAGGGAAAGAAAACCACTCTTATAACCAAGAGATGAAGATGAAATATAGAAAGAAGATACACATATTGGCATCACTATGAAAACAACTTAGTAACATAATTGATAATCAGAATACCTTTCAATAAAATAATTTACTTCCCCTTCTAGAGGCCTCATCTGAGAGGTGTAGACAAAGTTGCCTGCAGCTGAGGATTTAAGATTGAGCATCTTCAAGCCATGATTTTTCCCTGTAACATTCTATGGAAGCAAAAGTTAAACTTGAAGAAGCAGGAAAGAAAAAAGTATTAATGCTTTTGAACTTTGATGTTGGAGAAGATTCCTGAGAATACTACAGCAGGCGAAGAAAACAAAGAAATCAACCCAGATTTCTCTCTTGAAGCATACATGACCAAGCTCAAATTATCCTACTTTGGACACATTATATGGAAATCTAGTTCTGTGGTGATTTGGGAAAAGTAGAAGGAAAGAAAATAAGATGATCAGCAGCAAGTGGGAGGGACTTAATTACAGTGGTGAAGGGTTCACAACTGGAAGTCCTAAAAGACCAGATTGTGGCAGATTGTCCTGGAGAAAATCTATCTACTCTTATGTGGTTGCTAAAAATCAGTACCATCTTAATGGAATGAATTAATTCACCAATATCAGAATTCTATAGTATCTTGGGAATTGTGTACAATAGTTTCAATTTTTAACACCTGAAGAGGGTAAAGTAACAATTGTGAGAGGAACAATAAGGTAGATAGGCATTATGTCTTGAAGTTTCCTTCTTTTGCATTACTAATGTTTTGCTTCCTTTTGTTGTCTTTACCCGTGAGTTTTAAATTGTGCCAGAGGACTAGCAAGAGATTGAGAGTTATTTTGTGAAGGCTTTTGCTATAGATATGGGTCAATATATTTAGACCACTATACAGAGAATAATCAAGAAATGCCCCCCCTCTCCCCAACTGTTTGGTATATTTCAAAGGAGTTATAGAGAAGTGCCTTTTGTAATGGTGCAATTTTTGTCAGAGAGAAATTAAAAGTATTTGGCTTGCTCTATTAACAAAAACAGATTCTGTTCCCTCGATATTTTTTTCAACTCATGGAAATCTGAATGAGCAGCCCAATTTGTGGAACTGGGCATAGGCTACTTGTCTGCACATGCAAGTAAGAACTTAGAGAGTGCAGAGACAATGCAAGACTTTCTGGTGGCTAAGGCAGAAAATCTGGATGGAATTCAAAAGTGGTAAAAATATAACCATGCCAAAGCTCCTTTTCCTACAGTTAAGTAGGATTTTTTTAAAAAATGTGCTGCCATAGTTTGAAATAACTGGGCAGCCCTGGGAAAATTGCTGCTGCTGGGATCCCCCTCCCCCTTTAATGTGACAGGTGATCTAGGTATGAAGACTTTGCTTTTAAATCTTCATTCTGTACTCTTTTATTGGTTGGCAGGCTAATAGATAATTAAAGAACAGTTTAGTCATCTCTGTGGGCTCTCTGTGGAGAACTGTCAAGCTGACAATGTTGCATTTTAATTATTAAGCAACACTGATACCTGTCCTTGAAAGGCAACTAACACACAGCAGATCTCTCATCCAACAGCTCCAATTTGCTCCATTTAACTTGTTGAATAGTTTTCTGTCAAGCACCGCATGCTAGCTCAAACCTCTGGCACAACTCAAACATGTTTCATGAAGCAAGCATTTGCCAGCCATGCCTCTGTTTGAAATCTGATATGCTTCATGAATTAATAGATTTTTCTCTACCTTTTTTTTTCTTCTTGGCCAAGCCAAAAATGAGGCAAAATTGCATAATACAACGAAATACAAACAGGCTAATTTTTGGTGGCAGAATCTGTATTTTTACAGGCTTTAGGAAGTTAGGTGTACTTCCATTCTGAGGTGCCATCCTACCCTACTGCTTTAGTCTCATAATTACCCATAAAAAGAGATAGGGCTTCAACTGCAATATCATTCCTTGCCATCCTCATATTTCGACATCCCACCTCCCCATGGATGCCAGTGGCCACAATTTGGCTTTGATTGCCTCCTGACCTAATTTTTTAAAATAAATGATTTTATTTTAAAACATTCACAACACTCACACATTGGCATGGTTTGGTGGTGCTTTGGTTATTTCTAAGTAATGAATATCTTTATTACTGGTCACAGACACACCACGTATATCAGACTAAAATAATAAGTTGGTCCTAATAAAAACATTCTTTACTATAGATTTTGACTGTTTTCCCTTGGAGGATTATCATGGCTTTTTCTTTTCAAGATAAAGTAGGCTATTCTTAATTTAAGAATGCTTACTTACATATTGTCACCTCAACAGTCCTGCTGTCAGCTTCTTAAGACATAGGCCAAACCTGCTTGACCTTAGAAAGCTTTCTTCTAAAAACATTTGAAATTATTTGGGCCCATGGAGAAGCTAACTGCTGTTAATTTGTGGTGTTCCCTTGTTCCCTTAAAAAAAAACCTGTTGGCGATAAATGTCACCATTTCTCACATGTCTTGTATTCTGTATATGGTTAATGGTAATGTTGCAAAAAGAAACCACTCCTAGAAAACATTTTTTTAAAAAAGCTTTTTTAATTGCCTTTCTACAGAGAAATCAAAGAAACCTACAGAATTGCAACTCTTAATAATCAGCAACCATCATAATTTCAATGTATGTAAGACCTACATCAACATACTTTTGTGGTCAACAAGATTCTTAAAATCCTAATTTTGAACAGCACATTCCTACTGAACATCATAAGCAAAGCTCCTGACCCAAGTACAGTTGCAGCTAGCATCCTGGATGGACATGTGCTTGCTCATCCACTATGAGGAGCAGATAGTGTTGCAAAGGAAGAGCAAGTGTGTATTCAGAACTACATCATTCTACATATATAGATCCCTAACACCAGATTAGAGGCAGAAAATCCCACCATTCCAGAAATGTAATCCCATTTCCATTTAGCTATAAATTCAATGGCCTGCTGCTTTCCTAGCTGATCTTTCCCTAATTGATTTGCTTAGGCAGCAAAAGGAAATAGGGATAAAAACAAATAGCTCACATTATTTCAGCCTAGGAATTATTTTCCTCTTTTGCTTCCCAAGCAACAAACACGGGAAAGTTGTAAGGCACCAGGCTGAAAAAAACTTGGCAGAGCAAGTAAAAATGCAGTTGATAAGAACTGTGAAAATAGTTTTTAAAAAAAATAATCAGAAGCTTTGTGATTCATGGCTGATTTAAAAAGAACTTGCTTTTTTGCTGGGCCTATTTTATACTAAAGTGTGTTTCTATCGCAGCAAACCATTTATTGCCAATATGAAACTGTTGCCCTCTCCTGCTGCTCTGAATCTTCTTCATTTCTGTCTCTATCTGGTTTGCTACTGCTAGTTTTAATGGCTATGCATTTAGATATACTTTCAGGTACACCTCCTTCTCCCTAGAAGCAGTATACTTTGCCTTGCAGATGAGGAAGAGACGGCAAAAGTAGTACTGTGGGTCATGAAAACCAGCAAGCATGTGGATAGGAAGGAGCAACACATTTGATTTATCATAAGAGATTTGACAGATATAAAAGCAAATCAATGCTCGCAAGGCTGTAGCACAGTGGTTCTCAACCTGTGGGTCGGGACCTCATTTGGGGTCGAACGACCATTTTACGGGGGTTGCCAAACAATGCAGTCCACCACTTTTTTCCCCCTTTTCCTTAGCTGTGCTACTCCCTTTTATTCTATCGGCTTTTGAAAGGCAATAGAATAGGCTCTCTTGAATAGAGTCTAATTCTATTGGCTTTCAAAAGCCAATAGGAATTGTCCAGGCTGTTTCTGCCCTGCTGAGCCCGCCAAAAATCCCATTCTGCAAACGGTGCTGCACCAGTTGAGTAGTCCTCGACTTACAACCAGTTGAGTAGTCCTCAACTTACAACCGGTTGGGGGTCGCGGCATTAAAAAGGTTGAGAACCACTGCTGTAGCAGGTAGGTGTCCTTAACATAAAGGATTTGTGTTTGTGGCTTGGAGGATGAGAACATCAATGGATTGGATCCTTTTTTAGTAATGTGTGTGCAAACATCTGAAAAAAATATAACCCATGTGGAAGAACTTATTTTGCTTAATGTAGTACAATCTATTATGTTTACTCCTGTCAGATTACGCTGGCAGACATTGTGATAAAGTCTTGGAAAAGCCTATCCCCTATTCCAGACCCAGAATGGTCTACTAAAACCCCCAATCCTTTTCCCTGAGCCCTCCATCCTATCCTCCTTTCCCCTCCCCCTCGCAAAGAGCAGTTTGCTGGATTTAGGCCATTAGCCCTAGAGCTGCTGTAAGCTGAGAATGCCCTGGGCGTGCATGCAGGCATGTGTCTCTCCAAACAGTTAAGCCTTGGGGTAAACGGTGACAGCTTCATAACCCTCCGGGGGCCTCATGCGAGCCCTGGCGTGAGTTTCACAGTATAGCTGCCCCTCCACAAAGAAGTAACCTTTCTGCTTCAGGTTGAGATTGCAGTCGGAACAGATGAAACATTCTGGGTGCCTGTACTTGTCACGGGCTTTTACTACTGTGCCACTGTTAAATGAATAATAAAAAAAAAAACAACAGAAAGAAAAAGTCAGCTGAATGCAATTTTCAGAGACTGGGACAGAGAAATCAATGACAAGTCTGCTGCTTAGGTTCCCAGGGGTCAATAAATTGTGAACTTCAGTCTTCTTCAGCTCTACCATGTTCTTGGACATGGTTCTAATCTCTATGATTGCCATCCTACAAGGGTAGCTTGGTTAGGTTCCCAATTGGAGTTAAATGAAATATTAAAAAAAAGCTTTGCGCACACAGGACATGTGGGCTTTATTTATAGCAAGGCCCCATGCTTTCTTCAACCTTTTAAAAGTAAGTTAGAACAAATATATACAATGTGTCATTAATAATATGGCATTTTGATTTCATTTGTGAGGTTTCCAGGAATCAATTGTTTTGTTTGTCCTCTTCCCTTTTTGTCCTCCTCCGCTTTTATGTCCTGTCTTTTACATTTTAATCTAGTGGGGAAAACTGAATGTTTATTCTGGGAGCGTTGTTTTGGCTCAACCTCAGAATACAGGTAGTCCTCAACTTACAATCATTTATTTAGTGACTGTTCAAAGTTACTGAAAAAAGTGTCTTATGACCATTTTCCACACTTACCACTGTTGCGGGGTCCCCATGGTCACATGATCAAAATTCAGATGTTGGCAACTGATATGTATTTATGATGGTTGCAGTGTCCCAGGTTTATGTGATCATCTTTTTCAACCTTCTGACGAGCAAAGTCAATGAGGAAGCCAGTTTCACTTAACAGCCATATTACTAACTTAACAATTGCAGTGATTCACTTAACAATTGTTGCAAGAAAGGTTGTACAATAGGGCAAAACTCACTTAACAACTATCTTGCTTAGCAACAGCCATTTTAGGCTCAATTGTGGTTGTAAGTCAAGGACTACCTGTATTTATTAATGATGAATGTAAACAAATGAACGTTTACTTTAAGATTATAAATGAGAAATATCTCTTTTCGTAACAGGTTGTTATAAACTCTTTTGAAAACCAATGTTACAAATCTACAATAAGAAAGTGAAATATCTTACACAATGCCATTTCCACACTTGTCACACAAAGGCACTTTTGGCACACTTCCTGCACCAGCACCTGTCTTTGTGACGGGTGCTCTTACACTCCTTGTCCCACTGGGACGACTTTCTGCAAACAAAACAAAGCAATATATATAGTCTTGAGTGACTTTTAAATGACTACCATTAGAAGTTTAAAATGTATAAACATTTGTTTCCATCCCATGTTAGGATTTTTCATTATAATAGACACTCTTTCACAAATAATTTTACCGATGAAATCTGCTTACATACAACAATTTTTAGTTTCTTCACTATTCAGTTATCTGTCTGTTTGTATATATTGATTTGCAGGCAGCAAATAATTTTTTCTTATTCTAATAGGAATGCAGGTGTTTTCATCACTGCTAACTTCATTGAAATTACTAGGTTTCAAGGAACTTTCCTTCCTCCGGTCTGGTGTTTCCTTCCTCCAATCTGATTGTTCCCATGGTGTTGGAACAATCACTCTTAGAATTTTGTCTATGGCATCCAATAAATATAACTTCAAATAAGGTAGCAGGTGGATGTATAGTGATTAAGGTACCAGACTAAAAAACAGGAGACTATGAAGGAAAACTCTTGTGCCTTAGACACAAAGCCAAATGGGTGACCTGTGCTAGTAAATTTATCTCAGCCCCAGGAAGCAGACAATGGCATATCACACTTCTGAAATCTTGGCAAGAGAAATGCACGGACCTGTCCAGGCAGTCTCCAGGAGTCAAGATTGACTTGAAGACATAAAAATAGAAACAAAGCAAACAAAAATAGAGATGTTCAAAATTGCTGTACATCATGTCTATTCCACACCTTCGGGGGTGGGTGGGGGGTAAGAATGATGGATTACCAATCAGCAGGTTCAAATAACTCCCTTGAAGGTAGGGAAGAAATAACTGAGGAAGCGGTATTTCATCATTTCCTTTTATAGCATCTATCAAAAGCCTGTCTCTGAAGTATGATTTTGGTGGAAGAATGAGATTTTTTTTTTCTGGGAAGCTTTTCCCAGATATTCTTGCCTCTTGCAGAACTAACAGAGATTTTCTAGAAAAGTAAAAGACCAAAACATTTAAAAGTTTTCTTTTAACTATCACTTTCCGTCCTTAAAATAATCAGAGGGATACTAATCTGTATAACAGAGAACAGGAAAACTTAATCATAGAATTTTTAGCTATTTAGTCCTTTCTTTAATTATTCAATACACTGACAAAAGATCAGTAATTTCTGCATTTTTCCTTAAAAATATAAATAAACAATTTTAATTCAGTGTCAGGGTGGATGCAGGGGGAGATCAAGAAAATCAAGATGGCAGCAACGTCCATGTGGTCAATGTCTTGCTCTATTTTACATGCTTCGTGGTTGCACTTTGATTTTTTTTCTGCTTCTATCTAAGAATGCCCCTGTTCAGTGTTAAAATTTTCCTATTCCTATTTCTATTTGGTATTACATTTGCAATTAAGATAATCTCCAAGTGAGTGTCAAGAGGAATTTGATCTCACAGGTAGCTAACACCTTAAAAGAGCAACAGCTTAATGGGGCTGGATTAGGATACATACATTCCATGTTGATTCCTTAGATAAATTTTTAAAAACACGCTATAGTAAATAACACAGTATAATAACTGTTTTGATTAAAACAGTACAGTATAGAAGTGCACTTAAAATAGTATATTCCTTTCTATTAAAATGTATTTTATTTTAGCTCTCCTTTACTGTTCTCTTTTTTGTATCATAAAAAATACTATTTTTAATGGCCTCTCTTAAAGTAATACTTCTGACTTATATTTTTATTGATATAATCACATATTTTATTTATGCTTCCTTTTGAGTGCTTTCTTGTATTCGGAATTTAAGTCATCTATGGTCTTCCATATAGATACTAACCAGAATCAAAATATCTAAATTTAGCAAGCTGCTCTATGTTCCCTCCTATAACTTAAACAGTGAAAGATATAATATGATAACTAACCAGATTCTTCAGAGACCATGTCTTGGAGCACTTTAAAAGAACTGGACTGCCGTGGTTCGCTGGGTCCTTGAGGATCATCATGTAGCATCCTATAAACATCAGACTGAGGCACTGCAGCTGGTGCTGGCTCACTGCAAAGTCCAGGCAAGTATGAAATAAAGGTAGTTAATCCTTAAAGGATGTTATAGAAGGACATAAACACGCACATATAAAATGACTCTTGGAACACCCTTCATATATTCATTTTAATACAGTGTGAGTTCAGAAAAATTACTTCAGTTACACTGAGAGTTTTGGGTTTACAGAAGGCCATTTGGAATGACGGGCTCTAAATACCTTCCGGTGGTCAAAAATACCCAATATATCGTAAAACATTTTTAAAAGCCTTTGTGATTTTGATAGATATATGTTGTCTGATACTTGAAATTTATTGAGAACGAGAATTCAAATGTTTTTTGAGTAGGCAGAACTTTCTATGTGGTTCTTAGGATCAGATTCATAATTATAAATTATTCCACAATTTGATTTTTATTGCCCTTGCTTCATAAAACAAGAAAAGAGCTATAGTAACTTAATTCTGCCCCTGCATATGGTTAGCATTAGGACAAGCTGTGATGTATACAGATTGAAAAGTTTAGATAGAACTCATTTTGGAGGGAAGGAACAGATAGCAATTTCTTCCCCAGAGTATATTCTACATTTTTAGTATATGTTGATCTGGAGCATTGGAAAACCCTGATACTACCGCTTTTTTGCTCAAAACAGATAATAAAAAGTAAATTAAAAAGATTAAAAAGTAAATTATTATACTAAAAATAATCATGTAACAATATAATAAAAAATTAGAAGCAATAGCAAATGATCACATCTTCACTTAAACAAATCAAAAATAAAATGATCCCCTGAAATGCATTAGATGTCAACAAACATATCTAGAAAATCAAGACAGTGTAACTCCTGGACCTTCAGAAATGCATAAATTAAATAAAAGTAGTTTAAAGTACATAATGTTTAAACTTGCAAGTTGTAATATTTCTAAATATAATTCCTATTCACTTTATATCTTGATCTGTTATGTTCCAAAGAAAATTTCAGGATGGTATTAGTTATTATATATAAAATATTCCCAAGCAGAAAGATACCATCCCTATATTTGAATCTAATGAAAACAAAGTCCAACAACAAAAGCATTTCAAATTATTTTTTTTCTGGAATGGTTTTCAAAAACAGGTTTCGCTATTTGTAATACAATCAGTGAAAATTTCATTCATAATTCCAGCTTTGTTATAAAAAGCCCCAATAAAACACATGCAAAAATGAAACAAGTTGGCAATTTAAACATGTCACATAATTTAAATACATGTAGCCTTCAAGAATATGTATGCATTGTTTTTGGAACTGTCATAACTCAGTTAATTTAAAAGCATAAAATATCGTACATCCAATTTAAAAAGCACAAAATCAATGTTGAGCTAGCTATCTCACTGATGAAAAGATCCTTCAGAATGTATTTAATAATAATAATAATGTTGGAAGATACCTTGGAGGTCATCTAGTCCAACCTCCTGCTCAGGCAGGAAACCTTATACCATTTCAGACAAATGGCTGTCCAGTCTCTTCTTAAAAACTTCCAGTGTTGGAGCAATTTAAAAGAACAAGATCATCCAATGACCTTTATTTAATTAGTGTTACCTTCAAAGTATTTTTGTTCTATAAAGCATGACCAGTTTCTCCCTTCCTCCTAAACAAAATTCTATTAATAAACACCAGACAGAACCAACTTTATTAATAATCCAGGAAAATTGTCAATTAATTAGTAAGAGAGACAGGAATCAACAGAAAGCATATATCTATCTATCTATCTATCTATCTATCTATCTATCTATCTATCTATCTATCTATCTATCTATCTATCTATCTATCTATCTATCTATCTAAAATTTGGATTGCTAAAATCCAAATTTTAGAAATATATATATATGAATGCAGCCACAAACTATAATTATAAATAATCAGTTACCTCGGAGTAATTCTTAATGCAATTTTATGCATAGGATTGTATAGTACCCAACTTCATTGATGGATAAAGCTTTCTGATTATAAATTGGCCAAAACCTTAATATACCTACAATTATAAATTTAAATATGAACTATAGACTGATACAATCTTATTCAATTTTCATAATGAGAATGAAATAAATTTTCCTTAATGTACTTTAAGCTTTTTCATTTTCTAGTATGGGACACAGCTCATGAAAAAATAAAAAGAGTTGAAACTGGACTTAAGAGATCTCTAATGAGATCCAGGCTTTCTCTATTATTCTATTTTTGTTTTCAAGAAGCTAAGCAAATTTTTGGACAGATATCTGCAGTCTGCAGTTCAGATAAGATTAATAAAGGAGATGAAATCATCCAGCACTTATGGGTCACTGGAGATTGCTGCAGAAATGCTCCCTCCGCTGTAATCCCTGGCCATGGTCTTCCAGGGTCATCCTGCTTTGGCACTGTAAACTTCAGATTCTTTCATACCAAGCTCTTGCCCCATGTTCATAGATGAGCCAGCAGGATCCCTCGCTCAGAGACATGGATCAGGCTGAACAGCAGTGGGGATGTATTAAGTAAGGCAAGAAAGAGCCAGCCTTCTTTCTGCTATTTAAGAGTGTGATCTCCCCATCACACTTGTCAGTTTTCCCAGTCTGCTTTTGAACATAGATTATTCTTTCTGAAGACTGTTAAACTTGTGTTTAAAAGTAGCCCAACTAACAATTGATAAGGAGGAGAGATTAATCGCTGCAGTTCAAGAGCTCCTCCTTATTTTCTCACAACTGCCACTTCCAACCCCATGTGCCTGTTGGTTGTTTATTTTCTTTCTTTTATTTTGGTTTTTGGAGAAGCTTGTATGATTGTAAGCAGTCTGGGTGCCTGTATGGTAATACTTGATGACATCAAAGAGCTGACAGAGTCAACTTCCTTCTCCTGCTCCCTTTCCTAGAGATCCACTGCAGGTTAGTGCTAACATGAGGAAGCCACAGCATCTGGCTCCTCCTCCTCCTCCTCCTCCTCCTGTCCATGATTTGCTTAATGGCTTGTGCTACAGTTTATGCCAAGAACAATATTGAGAAAGAGGGAGGGCAGTTGACCCAGGATTTAATCAGTGGCTTTGCTTAACAGGCTATGCTCAATCTAAATAAAGATACCAACATCCAACACATAGCAGAAGCTCCAGAGGCAGGATAGGGATCAACAGCAAGAATAGCCAATAGTATGATTTTTTTGATGACTTGAAGACAGGTGAAGTGTTCTTTCACTGAACAAATGAGAAAAGACCTTTAAAGGGGCATGGGATAACTATGCTTACAAGCCTTAATGGATAACAAGCAAATAGCTGGCACATGGGCAGCATTCTTCATGCAGTATGCTAAGCACACAGGATGGCTCCCATTACCTTATATAGGGTGTTTCCCCAAGTGCTGTAGCAACCTGCCCTTGCAGTGTTTCCATAATATTGTCATCTGAATATATCTGCATAGGAGTGTTAAACTGAGCGTGCACAATCTTGACACCAGGAAGCTCCATTTCTAAGGGAATGTTGGGGGCCATCTTAGCTGCAGCTTTCAACTCAGTAGGACAGATAGTGCTAACAGTGCTAATGGAAGAGGGAGTGCTACGTCCACTGCTGCCATCAAAACCGGAGGGAGTACTGCATACGTGATTCAAATCAGAGTGAAAACAGAAGGTAAATAAAAGGCACATGCAGTTTCTAGAGTGATTAAAGAGAAAAGAGGATGCAAATACAAGAATTCAGCACAAGCTTTTGTGTATGCTTTCTGCTGTGTACAATCTGTTGTAAAAATCCTCATAGTTTGTATGATCAAGTCTCATCACTATCCACTAAAATGTATGTTAAAAGTTAATTTGATCAGGTTCAGCCAATTTAATATTAGTGCTGGAACCTTTTGAGGTTTTCCAGTTTAGCCTTAAAAGCAACAACAATATTCATATCCTTCAGTCCAGGATTATACATATAATCCCATTGAGGTATGCCTGCAATATTTTCATAATATTGCAGCCATTTCAGTGTACTGTAATCTGTTTCCTAAAAATTTCTTGATGTCATTATAAATATATCTTATTCTGAATTCTGATGTTCTAAAAAAAAAGAACTCTGAAAACCAGGCTGTTAAATATTTAAATTGTGATGCCATAGAAAATAATTAAACTATGCAAATATATTTTCTTGCATTTATTTCACATTGGAAAAATATGCATGCTCTTGCAGCGTTTATATATTATAGTGATGAAATATTCAATGGTCCAAAAATCAAAACTACATAAACATATGTTTACAATTAAGCTCATTGCAATATTATCATTCAAAATGTCATTGCTAAATGCAATAACTCTTTGGCAACACTGATTTTATTATTCTTGTCTAATGTTTAGGGGAGGGGAAGTAAGATTTTAGGTCATTTAATTAAAAATAGGATTAGTCAAAATCCAGAAAATGAATCATACAGTACTTTGTTATGTTAAAAAATACATACATTGGTATGTTAAAAGCAGGCTCTCATGATAGATCACTTTATATAGACAATAAAGAAAATGCTGAAGATCAGCTTTAAAGTCTCTTATTATTATACAACATGGCTTAGAGTCCTTTTGGACACAATGTTTCAGCTATGAATGCAATAAATCAGTTTGGACATATTAAGCAACAAAATTAAGGAACTACTAAACATATAGTCACAGTCGTTCCCTTTCAAATATTGCATAATGGGGAAAAAAAGTGATAACATTTACTGAACATTGATGGGAGGTTAGTTTTGTTCACTGATATTTTAAAATACCTGGCTGGCATTTCTGCATGATATGGTACCAAGAAATCAGGAAGTAATTATGATGTGGAAAGCTAGCCTAAAGTGTTGATTATGCTAGGTGTTATATACGGATTTCCGTTAAGAGGATAACAAACATTATGGCTCAGAATCGAACTCTCAATGTGGAAAGAAAATATCTCCAGTCCTCCTAAAATCTATATAATATTATGTTGCCTGTTGCTATCTCTTGATTTGTGATTACAATCAAAACTTTGCAATGATTCTGAATAAATACATAATGAAGAACTTCAATGTATACTCTGGAAAATGAGGGGATATACCAACATGAAAGGTCATAGTAGTGACCTTAAATCCAATTCCCCTCTTAGACATTAACCTGGAAATATAGCGTAACCTCACTTTTCATTAGAAATCTGCCATTGTCTCATCAACAAATCTCACTGTTTCATTGGAATTTGCATCTAGATGAGCAGGTATACTTTAGGTTTGGGCTACAAGGTTGAAATCACATGTATTTAGGGCATGAAATCAACCAATTTCACTGTGGATTGGATTGAAGGCTAAATGTTCACAATCTGGTAAATACTAAAAGTGTCACGTTTTGTGAACTTCTGAAATGAAATCTAAATCTCATCACTTTTGCTGAATGTTGCCAATCAAATACATATGGTTCCCAACATTTACTGGCATGTCCAAGCTCAAACAATAACAAGTCAGTCTGTTATTATCACAAATCTTATATGATTGCAAATATTCACTGAATGACACAACTGTAAGTAAATATTTCTAGAAATACTAAAATATTTTTAATTGAAATGAATGATAACATTTCCTAAACCACAGATCCTTTAACAAAATTGCAATCAAAATGCACAACTAATTCAAGGTTGTCAAGAGGAATTCATATAAGATCATACCAGCATACTTTTCAAGAAAACACATTCCTTACTATCAGAGGCAAGGCAAAGAAATTCAAAGCCTTATGTGCTCCAAGCAAGCATGCAGTTTTTCATTTGCCAGATCTCGCAGCCAAATATCCCTAGAAGGGGAGAGCCACACGTGGCATTCCTCAGGAAAAAGGCAAGACCCAGAGCCAAGGTTTAGAAGACAAGAACCAGGCTTGTCAGTCAATGGCAGGGTTAACGTTAATAACTTAAATACATTGTCAACACTCTCACCACAAACGTGGCCTTAAGCAACAGGGCCCTCATTAGCAGTGTCAGGAAATAAAAGGATGCACAAGTAACTATGAATTTCCAGTCATTTGTTTGCAGATATTATGTGTTACTAGGTAAACACAAAAAAATGCTAGGTAGACATGGCGTTATAATTTTCAAACTTTGTCTTGCTACACACTGTTTTCTAAATACAACTGAATGACAAAAGAAATTAAAACCAGAGTACAGATACTTGGTTTCCTTATATATTGCAAAGTAATTGTGCTATATATTTTCAATTCTCAAATGTCATCCTCCATAAATCCTTAAAGCAATGTAGGAATTCATAAAGGAAAGTACCACTTCTATTAAATCATATTCTTTATGCATTAAACCAAAACAACAAAAGTCCATTTTCTTGTTTTATTCTCAATAAATGTCTTAACGTTTATCTGTTTCATTAGCACAGACTATATACAGATGTCCTCTGATGCAAGATCTATTGAACTTAATAAAATTTTGGGAACTCTGTGGCCTAAGATGCTGTTGTAACTTGAATCAATGTATGCTACATTTTTTTTACCATGAATTTGCATGATGTAAGAACTGGATCTCTTTATTACTTGGGAATCACTGTTTGACTACAGCTGTGAAGCAAGCATTTCATTCATTAGAAGGACTTACAACATACTGAAGTAGCAATATTACTGAACCCCTACAACCCAATTGTAGAAAAAAAAAATCATGCATCAGTTACAGGCAAAACTTATGACCTGCTTGGGCTTTGGACTACGAAAGGTTTAGGTCGAACATTATGTTTGTGTTCAAAGTAGCCTATATCCTGGAAAAAAAGGAAAGGGTTACAAAACAACTTTCAGCAACTTACAGTATTATTTGTTTCCAAAGAAGATAAGATAATGCACACATTGAAAATTATGGAGTGTAAGTTGTAGAGTAGTAGTATTAGCATATTTCCTTTTATTGGAAGAAAAACAGAGTGAAGGTTATAGCCTAGCTAAAGTCAGGCATTTTAAAGCTGCTGGTCCTACTCCACATTCTACAAAGCAAGTCCCATGAAATATGCAGATTTAAAATAACAAAAGCATTCAGGAGTAGACTGCACACATCAGTATAAACAACACCAGTTGAAGTCTGTATGATGTGCAGGTTTAGCCCTGTTATGTTTATTCAGATGAAAGTCAGATTAAAAGTAAATGGGTTTCAGTTTATAGCATGTATATATGCATAGAATTATACTTTTGGTGCTTGTTTAGCTTTGTTTTGGCTAGGTTGAACTCATGTTGCAGCTACACATAAATTTTATGTTGAAAGTTCTCTAGAAAAGTATGTTCAAAATATTAGTCCTTCCCACATAAATATTCATTTGAAAGTTTGAAAGGCACTTTTTAAAAAAGTTTTGAAGATCAGGAAAGAAAAAAGAGCAAAAGGCAGGAAGAGATGGACTCAACAATATAAAAAACAAGGATACCAAAAGTAGTGATGAGAGGCCATCTCACAATGTGGTACTCACTTTTCAGCTGAACTAGGGATCAGGCCACGCAGCTGTCCATGAAGAGCATCGTGTATATTGCCAGACGAATAAAGCCCAATTGGAGAATTATAGGCAGAACTCATTACCTGCCTTTTGTCATCAAGGTTAGCTGCTGCAACAAAAGGCTTGGCCTTTCTGTTATGAGTTGTACCAATAGGCTTCAATTCCTGTTCATAATAGGCAGACAAAATACACAGAGCTACTATGCACACTTAAGCCAACAGCAAGCAAAACTGACATTGCAGCTAATTATTAATCAAATGCATCAGTCCCAAGGCACAACAAGTCTTGATTTAGTAAACCAGTAAGCAAGCATCCTATGGAAATTTTTAGGGAAAATAGTACCAGTTGTAGGCAGATAAGCTTACAGACGTGACTATCATTGTTATTTATTTGAGGCAGCATTACAAGCATTTGGCTGCAGAATATTGCAGAACAGCAACAGTTCTTCCTTCTCTCTCTCAGCCACTAATATCTAGCTATCCAGAAATCAAAAAGTAAGTGCTACTATTGCACTACTTCTTTCTCCACTTTTGTTGTTGATAAGCAATGACACAAGCAGGAATGTGAGGTCAGTGATATTACCTCACACAAATTTGGGTGACTAAAGATAAGGGGGCAGGAGAGAAGACAAAATGGGTTACCGTGACCTTTCCTGGCAATTGCATTTCTTCTATAAATATGTGATTTCTTTGTTGCAGATTAAATGAAATGACCATCTTTCATGGGTCTTTGGCCACAAGGTTTCTTTCAATCAATAAAATTCATTTCTAGATACAGTTTAGATGGTATAAATAATTGAATCAAAGCACAAAAAAGTCCAACTCATCCTTTCTTTTGGTTGTAGCACTGCCATAATTTGGTTAGTCCTAAAGCAAGACAGACATAAAGGGACATGCTGCCTTCTGAATAAATTCTAAAAAGTGGTTTTCAGAAGATGTAAAATAAAACTAAGCTGACAAATGCTCTGCATTTAAATCAATCAGCAACTTCTGCTTGCACTATCATGCTGAGATTTAAACAGAAATACAGCATAATTTATTGCTTCCAATCCTAATGAAGCAAAGAACAAAATTGCCACAGGAAAAAAGGGTGGCAAGAAAATCTGAAAGAAGTAAACAAAGCCCTGTTGTGTGTTCTGATTTACAATCTATTTAAAACATATTATTAACTTCCTCAAGTCATTTGCTTTACTAAATTAGTGTTTAAATTGTGTGGGTACTTTAACAAGATTTTTTTTTCATTGCTCCAATTGCTTTAGCTGTGTGTGTTCCATTGATTTAAAACAGTCAGCTAGACTAGAGCATAAAATACCATACCATTCAGTGTCTTGAGAACAAATCTGTAATTTTCTCCATTTTTTCCCAGTGTTTATGGCTGAAAAAATACTAGTGTTAAGAGTTCCAGTGATCTGGAAGAGATCTCACTTCTGAACCTTGCAAGAAAATTGAAGAGACTATTCCATGTAATTGCTGGGAGTCAAAAACTGATTCAGAGGCATCAAAACAAAAACAAAATAAAAAAACCAAGAATGAAATCAAAACGAAAACCAGAAAAGTAGCTCTGCAAAATGAAAAATACTATCCTGGTCTTCTCAAAATGTATTTTTGTTCAATGGGGAGGAAAGAGCACTGAGCATTCAAGCTTATTGCGCTATTAATGTTAACATAAGTCATTTAGAAGAGCTATATTATTGGTTTTTCCAAACATGAAGGCTATCTCTTGAAGCAGCATTTAAAACAATGGAGCTACATTGTATTCAGTTGAACTAAATTGGCTGGAAAGTGGCCTTCCATCAAAACAGTGGCCCTCATAATATTAACAAATAGAATATTTAAATCTAATTGTCTATCCATCCATTTACAAAGCTTTATATTAGTATCAGTGGGGTTTACTTCATATTAAATGTGCTTATTAATCAAAGAGGTTATTCCCCCCCCCCCCAAAAGAAAAATCCAAATCCTCGGCAGTAGGAAACTATGCTGATTGCAAAGAAATTCTGAAAAGTATATAACCAACTATTTTTAATACTATTGGGAGATATATTACAGAAATAGCATGCAGTATAGAAGCATCAATTTTATGCCAACATACACTACTGCAATGTGAATTCGACTTAATTTTCCTTTCCCAAAATATCACCAAATGTGCAGAAAGATAAACTGAAAAAGTAAACAATAGCAAAAAATGTACACAGTCCAGCTCTTCTGTTTACTGCATGTAACAAAACTCTGAAATACTATATGGTCATCTTAACTGACATTTCAGTAAGAATCCAAAAATAAATTATGGAATCTGAATTTGTTAGGGGTGAAATCAGGAAGGTATATTTTCCCAATGTGATGAACCTTTTTTATATTTTAAAATTAGCAGAAAAACAACTGTTGAAACATTTCCACTGACCTATTTATTGCTCATTAAGATCATTATTGAATATTTAAAGAATTAAATATCTAATTTAATACTTAATGACCTTTCTTAGAATAATTGGTTAATAACTTAAAAGTCAGTAGCCAGTATAGTATTTTAATTGCATATTTTGTTTTGGCAGTAGTTTAGTCATTATTTTGTTGTTTGGATTTCAAATAACGTACTTCAATTAGAATTCCCATTTAGTGAATCTTATTTTTCCATGTACTCCTGTTAGTTTGATTTATTGCATGGCACCTTAGTAAACAATTTTATTTAGACTAATTAGTCTGAAATTTCAGACTAATTAATTTTATTTATTTATTTGTAAAATTTATTGGCCGCCAATCTTACCTCAAGGTAACTCTGGAAGCAATTGTAAAAGATAAAAACTATATAAATTAAAAATATAAATAAGCTAGTACAAAAGTGCAATTAAAAGATAGGGAGGGTGGGAGCAGGATAGGGGAGAGATGGCTCTGTTGTTAATGGGTCGATCACATCCACTGTGATGCTCCCCCATTGGAGGCCCAAGCTAACTGGCAGAGCCAGGTCTTTAGGCTCCTTTGGAAGGTTTGAGCCGACCTCACTCCGGGGGTTGGGTGGGGGGCAAGATATTCCAGAGAGCACGTGCAAAGGTAGAGAAGGCCCTTCTGCTGGACCTCGCCCTGCCTCCTCTGCTGGCACAGGTAGGGCGAGCCAATCCCAGTGGGTTTTACTTTGTCAATCAATTCAGTCAACATCAAATTCCAAGACAAGCTTATAGTGCCTTTTCAGATATAAACTATCTTGAGTATACTCTTCCAATCTAGTAGTTCTAGATATTTTTGACTTCAGCTACCATAATTCTCAAGGAATTCATTAGATGTGGAAGACATTATATTAATGGGCGAATCTATCCAGGACTCAGTAATTTGATTCATATATCTATTAGAGAAAAAATTATCTACAGAACATATGTGGGGTACTAAGACAGCTAAACTCAAGATCTTAGTCAGTCTAGTGATCTGACGAAACCTAGAGATCTATACATGAAAATCATCATTTCCAAGGGTCTTTAGTCATAAAGTCTTGGGCTTCACTGGTTAAGTGTTCCTGTCACACTACGTTATCAGTTAGTAGTAAGTCAACTTATAACTATTTCTGGCAAACACCACCTATTCAGAAAAAGTAGTTCACATTTACAGTTGCAGTGTTTGCTTAATGACCATGAATTAGCTTAACATGTGAGGTGATTTGCTTAATGACCATTGCAAAAAATGTCATAAAATTGGGTCCTGTCATGTGAGGGCCTTGACTGATGGCCATGATAACTTACAACCAAAAATCCAGTTCCAGTTGTGGTCATAAGTTGAGGATTATCTGTACAAGTAGGTAAGTAGCAACTAATTAAAAACAGAATAAGAGTGTTGGTGATTTAAGAATTACTAGATCTCAGCTGTAAAAGTCCAGCCAACCACTAGATGGCAGCGACGGTATGCAGATAACTTTAGTATTTTCCAGTGTTGAATGCCAATTAGTGGCTATCTGGATTCTTGCAGTCCAGATGCAGCTTTAACTTGAATCAATTGCTACCTGTGGTTCAGCTTCCAAGTTTATTTTGAATGGATGCGGTCTGCCCTCTTCTGCTACTTGTGGAGACCACAATTTAGTCTCTGCTCTGTTGGATAAAAATGAAGAATGAATTAAGGAATCCAAAACATTTCACCATTTTTAGCATGTAATAAGCATTTTATATATTTATGTCATTACAGATTTGGATTGCATTTGTGTAGAAGTTAACTGGGATTGAATTTGGGGACATTACTGTCCACATTGACCTATGTTAGTTTATGTTGGTAATGTGTACATTAGATCCCACATTACAAAGTGGATAATTTTCAGATTACAGTATTTTTAACAATTCTACTAATAGAAAAAAAAAAGACAAAAAGGAAAGACAAACCTATCAGGGTTTATCTGCTACAGTCCAAAACAGTAAGCAACACATGCATAAGAATGATAAACAAAATTGTGAAAGAGTAATTTAGCAACACTTTTTAAAAATAATCACAAAACAGGAAGGAACCTCATCCCTCAAATAGCTCTGTGTTTGATAACGATATGTGTAATGGAAAATTTCAAGCAATTAAAGCAATAACTCATATCAAAGCAAAACTAAATGGAATTCATTTTATGTTACTGTTATGGGGAAGACAACCACTGGTTTGAGGAACTGGGTTCTTCTGAGTTAATAAATAAAACTTCTTCAAGTTTGCATCTGCAAGTCAGTGGTTTTTTCACAGCAGTTCAATAATTCTTTTGACACAGATGTAATTTCATCAAATAATTTGTCTTCCACTTTGTCTGGTACATGTTAAAAAAATTCTTAGGATTAATTGCATCAGAAAAATTGCAAGATGCATAATCACAAAACATGATTACATGCAGGGATGAGCAAGCTGCTCATTTTTGTGGTGACTGAAACATAATTATGCCACCAAAATGAGGTGACAAAGAAACCAATAATGACAATTCACTTTTTTTTGAAAATCCAGCAAAATCAGTTTATCAGCTTCACGTACTTAAAAGATTTTCAAAAATCAGAACAAAAAAATCCCAACCACTCCCATGACATCATTATACTACTAAAGTGACTTTTTTTTTTTTTTTTAAAGGGCAACCTCTTGGGAAAAATGCATTCCTTCTTGATCTATGGAATTCAAGGTCCAGATTTCTGCATTGTGATCCTGTAAGTCGTGAAGAATTACCTCTCAATTTTCAGACAGAGTTGCTGGCCTGCTGCTTTAATTTTCTCCTGGGCATCATTGTGAGTCATGTTTTCTGTGCTGTGACCGTCAATAGCTATAATGATGTCACCAGGACACAGATTCGCTTGTGAAGCTTTACTTCCTGGTGTTATCTAAAAGAAAATCAGAGTAAGTTTTTATGTAATTGTTTAAGAGATATATGTCCATTTATAGAATCTGTCTGTCTGTCTGCTTGCCTGCCTTGATGTGTTTTTGCAAGGTAGGAATTACACAATAAACGTTTCTGCCATTAACACTAGTCTCTTCCATTTACTCAAATTTCTTCATCTTAAAAAGATTTAGATCAGATTAGAGTTAGTAATCAGCCATAGTCAGCAGATCCTGAAATGCTTAGAAAGCTCCAGGGAATAAAGAATTCACATTCCAATCAATAGAGGTAACTAAAGGAAATGCACTAAGCATTTTCTGAACTACAGCCATATCTGTGGAAGAAAAATGTTATAAGATAGAAAATCTGGGTCTTCATTTTACCGATCTTGGAAAATGTTTACTTTGTTAAAGAAACAATCAGACTATTTCTTGATTCAACAAAATTGTCGCTTAGTTTAAACCAAGATCAGTTTTTCTCTTGCTTATCACAGTGAAAAGGCATGACATAATTAAAATTCACAGAATTGCTAAGGCTTAACATGGCTTTTTTCAATATTGATTAGTTTGATGTGTGAATTCACTATCATATTAATAGCTTATATCATGAATGAACCAAGGCACTGCAGCTTATCCAATAAATGTTTTAGTAAATTCATTTGTTGTTGTTAATTGTGAAGTTGTGTCCGACCCATCGCGACCCCATGGACAACGTTCCTCCAGGTCTTCCTGTCCTCTACCAACTTCTGGAGTCCATTTAAGTTCACACCTACTGCTTCAGTGACTCCATCCAGCCATCTCATTCTCTGTCGTCCCCTTCTTCTATTGCCCTCAATCTTTCCCAGCATTAGGCCCTTCTCCAGTGAGTCCTTCCTTCTCATTAGATGGCCAAAGTATTTGAGTTTCAACTTCAGGATCTGGCCTTCTAAAGAGCAGTCGGGGTTGATCTCTTCTAGGACTGACCGGTTTGAATGCCTTGCAGTCCAAGGGACTCGCAGGAGTCTTCTCCAGCACCATAGTTCAAAGGCCTCAATTCTTTGGCGCTCAGCCTTTCTTATGGTCCAACTTTCACAGCCATATATTGCAACTGGGAAAACCATGGCCTGGACTATACGCACTTTTGTTGGCAGGTAAATTCATATTATCCAATAAAAGTTTTAGTAAATTCATATCTAGTCTTTATTAGAAGTCTGATATCTCAAATACAGTTGAATTCAGATTACTTTGATTGGTCCTATTTCAATAGACTACATATAGGACTGCAGTAGATATTGACTTTATGTCAAGTACTGGCTTGCAGATATCTATAATAACACTGATAAGCATCTAAACATTTATATCAACTTGGTGGCCAATTTTTCATTTGTTCCTTCCTTCCTATAATGGAAAAACAACAGATGCTGTAGATATCTGAAGATCTGCACAGAAACAAAATAAACCCAAAATCCTGGAGCACTGGGGAACTACCAGAGGATTGGAAAAGAGTTGATGTGGTGCCCATCTTAAAAAAAGGAAAAAAAAAAACAGACCCAGGAAACTACAGACCAATCAGCTTAACATCAATATATCTGGAAAGATACACCGGAAAAGATAATAAAAAAACAGATCTGCAAACATCTAGAAACACAGTTATAACTAGAAGCCAGCACGGGTTTGTCAAAAACAGATCATGCCAAACCAATTTCATTTCATTCTTTGATCAGGTGACTAAATTGATGGACCAGCGGAATACTGTGGACATGGTACATTTGGACTTCAGCAAGTCATCCAACAAAGTAGACCATAAACTACTTCTTGGAAAGCTTAAAAAAAGCGGGATAGACAGCATCACCATCAGATGAATTTTTAACTGGCTGACAAACGGCACTCAAAGAGTAATCCTTAATGGTACTACATCTACATTGAGGGAAGTAAGCAGTGGGATACAATAAGATTCTGTCCTAGGACCAGTACTCTTCAACATTTTCATAAATGACCTAGATGAGGGAATAGAAGGGGCTTATCAAATTTGCAGATGACACTAAGCTGGCAGGAATAGCCAACACCCTAGATCAGGGGTGTCAAACTGCCAGCCCACGGGCCGGATGCTTCACGAGCAAACTGTGCCCACCCCATTGCCGGCAATGGGGAAAAGGTTCCGATACATCGCGTGACATCATGTGACATCGTGAGTTTGACATGTCTGCCCTAGATAATAGGCTCAAGATCCAGAGGGATCTTGACAGACTTGAACACTGGGTCCTATCTAACAAAATGAAATTCAACATAGAGAAAAGTAAAGTCTTACACTTAGGCAAAAAAACCCAAAAGTACACATATAGATTGGGTGAAACCAGGCTCAATAGCAGCAATTGTAAAAGGGACTCTTAGTGGACAATCAATTAAATATGAGCCAACAGTGTGTGGCAGCAGCCAAAAAAGCCAATGCAATCCTAAATTGCATTAACAGAGGGATTCGATCAAGATCGCATGAGGTACTAATATCACTCTATAAAGCCTCAGTAAGACCACACCTAGAATACTGCAACCAGTTTTAGTCACCATATTATAAAAAAGATGTTGAGACTCTAGAAAAAAGTGCAGAGAAGAGCAACAAAGATGATTAGGGGACTGGAGACCAAAACCTATGAAGAACGATTGCTAGTGAAGAGAAGGACCAGGGGAGACATAATAGCAGTGTTCCAATATTTGAGGGGCTGTCACAGAGAGGAGGGGGTCAACCTATTTTCCAAAGCACCTGAAGGCCAGATATGGAATAATGGATGGAAACTGATCAAGGAGAGATTCACCCTGGAAATAAGGAGAAATTTTCTGACAGAGAAAACAATCAACCAGTGGAAAAGACTGCCTTCAGATGTTGTTGGTGCTTCATCATTGGAGGCTTTCAAGAAGAGACTGGACTGCCACCTGTCAGAAATGATGTAAGAACTCCTGCTTGGGCAGGGGGTTGGACTAGATGACCTACAAAGTCTCTTCCAACTATTCTGTTCTGTTCTGTTCTATTCTATCCATGATTTTACAGAAAACCCTATTTTAACTTTTATGGAGTTTCATCTATTTGTTTCTTGTATATACTTTTTAGACTGTACCCTTTGTTTTCCAAATTACAAGATTTACACTAAAATTCTAAATTCATGCAGTGATTTGTTTCCTGCAGTGCTAGCATACATTAATTAAGCCTCCATACTGACAAAACACGTATGCAAGAGAAAATCTTGAATAGTACAGAGGTAACAGAGATTAGTGGTAGAACACTAATAACATGTATGAAAGTAATCTAATCCTAATCTAACCATATTTGGTATCAGTGAAAATATTAGGAGGGTGGGAAAGTAGGGGCTGTTGTAATTTTACTGAAACTAGTACGTCAAAGAATACCTTCTGCCATAAACGTAACATAAACCCATCTGGATGGATTCAATAGCCACTGAAAGCCTTATTTTTCATTTCTTCCAGAGATGAACAAACTGCCAACCATTTATCACACTACATCTCATGATATTAACATTCCATATTTTAAATATGTGCTCTGTGAAGTACTTACCTTTCCTGATCCTAAATAATTGGTATCATATTAGCAAAAAAACTTCTTTAACTTTTTTCTCCATAACTTGTCCCATCCATTTTTGTTTCTCTCATTTTCTTTTCTTTCTCTAAAACATTGTTGTTGCTATACAGTATCTTTGTACTGTAGCTAAATAGCTCCAGGTCTTTGATAATTTTGCTTATCCTTTTTTAGTTTATGGTTATTTTAAGACATAATTACCATAACTGTACATACTTTCCCACAGTAACCACACTGTGTTTGTACAAAAGCATTAGGACATAATCAGTGTTTTGTTTTTTTTAAAAATTAATTTTCTGATATCAATCATTAAAGAAAAATGGGAGAAGGAAGAAGAACTTTCCAGGTGATCAGAGACTTTATACATTGGATCGTCCAATTGCCAAGAGATTTATTTAAGTTCAAATGAATACTGTACAAACAAAGCTCTCCTACAGACATTATACAAGGTGGAGTGGTCTGTGGGCAAGGACTAGTTCTAGTTTCAGGTCTCTGACGTTTATGATAACTCAGAAACTGGACATACCGTATTTTCCAGCGTATAAGACCACTGGGCGTATAAGCCGACCCCCAACTTTTGAGAAGATTTTCATTGTTTAGAAAGTCATCTTATACGCCGGAAAATACGGTAGCAATGCTCACTGGAGAAGCTTACTCTTCCTTGCTCAAAAATGTTGGGAGGGAGGAAAGGGGAAGGAAGGAATGAAGATTGAAGAGGAAAGGAAGGAGATTGAAGGGGACAGGAAGGAGATGGACAAGGAAGGAGATTGAAGGGGGAAGGAAGGAAGGAAGGAAGGAAGGAAGGAAGGAAGGAAGGAAGGAAGGAAGGAAGGAAGGATTGAAGGAGAAGGGATGGAGATGGAGATGGAAGGAAGGAAGGAAGATTGAAGGGGAAAGGAAGGAGATGGAGAAGGAATGAAGATTGAAGAGGGAGGGAAGGAAGGAAGGAAGGAAGGAAGGAGAGAGATTGAAAGGGAAGGGATGGAGATGGAAGGAAGGAAGGAAGGAAGGAAGGAAGGAAGGAGAGATTGAAGGAGAAGGGATGGAGATGGAGATGGAAGGAAGGAATGAAGATTGAAGGGGAAAGGAAGGAAGGAAGGAAGGAAGGAGAGAGATTGAAAGGGAAAGGATGGAGATGGAAGGAAGGAAGGAAGGAAGGAAGGAAGATTGAAGGGAAAAGGAAGGAGATTGAAGGGGAAAGGAAGGAGATGGACAAGGAAGGAGATTGAAGGGGAAATGAAGGAATGAAAGAAGGAGAGAGAGATTGAAGGGGGAGGCGCTGCCAAGGACGCACAAGCAGCTCCATACAATTGCCCAGGGAGGGGATGCGGCTCTGGTGGAGAGCCAAGCGGCGGCACATCCGGGGCCTCGGAAGCTGCATGGATAATTAAAACTTTGAAGAGAACCAAGCTTAGAAAGCTTCTCTTCTGCTTAGTACAA